CTTTCCACGAAAAGATACACCTTCTCCATGATGCATAGACTGTCCTTTGAAGATGTGTCTTGATACATATTACATCATGTCCTGCGATCAGCTCTTCGTCAAGCATTCATCACTGACAATATGATAGATCTTGGGCACACTTTGCTGCAAACCACTCCCTCATAATCTGATCATTCTCATGAAGGCTTCCATCCGATGAAATGTCGTAGTTCTTTGCTTGCTCATGTGTCTTAAAAAATATGAACAAGAGAAATTTAGCTGCACAATTACTCAAAGGATCATGAAACTGAACACCAAAAGTTTTTTGTTTTAATTTTGCATTTTGTATTTCAGTATTTTAACATGTACATCATAGATACATGAGAAGTTATGGCAAAGTAAATAAAAAAATTATTAAAAAAAAAACATCAAGAAGTTTCTTATTTCTGTAGTACATCAATCTGTCTAAAATCTTCCAGAACAAAGTTAATGTGTAACAAAATCTGTCTCAAACCTTTTAGCACAAAGTTCATGTGTAACAAAATCTAGTTCAGCAAATAAGAATAGGAAAAAAATCAAGAAGTACTAAATGTGGTGAACAGTTAGCCTTTCTGTACATGCTCTATGATTTGAATCGGTTTATTATGATAAAAACAAATACATTTTCAAAATAGAATATACAGGATACATACAAATCAAGATGAAAAGCAGGAAGTACCGATTATCAATCATTATGTCAAGATAAAAGTAATATACCGGTAGTACATCAATCATACAAAATTACACTGACTAAATCCTTGAGTATCACATTTAATAATATTTAAAAGTTAAATTCTATGTCAACAAAGTTAAGAAGAAGAGAAAGGGTGGGGGGGGGGGGGGGAGAGAAAAAAGGGAAGCGTATCGATATGGAGGAGAGGGAAAGAGGCATGGGTAGAAAAGAAAGAAAGAATAAGATACAGATAGAGATAGAAAGGAAGGGAAAATAGAGATATACGGATATGGCATACATGTACATGGAAATAGAAAATGTATAAATTGTTTAGAAACTGCCACAATAGAGAGTTGGCCTCTCTACAGGGATGGTCAAATTTGATTTGATTAACTTACGATAGCTTCTGGATAAACTCTCCTCATACTCCGTCTATTATTGTGTTCAAGGAAAGCGTCCTGGAGCATCATCTTCTGAGGTGGTTGCAAACATTTGTAACAGATTCGGCATTCCTACAGAAAAAAGGACAACAAAAAGCAGAAATAGCAATTATGATACGGGTGTAGGCAGTTAGATATGATTTGAAGATCTGGGGAGTTTGAAAGATTAAGATCAACTTTAAGTTGGACTTAACTATGGCAAGCCATCCGTGCCACTGGTTGCTCTCACTATTGGCCTTTCAATTATGATCTGACTTTAGATAATATTTTTTCCTTCAATAATGAACTATACAAAAATGTAAACTCTGTAGACTTGTGACCATGATTTGTATGACCCTTGAGAAACCATAGCCAGGAATGGAAAACTAGTGGCATGAACAGCCTGCCATAGCTAAGTCCAACTTAAAGTCGATCTTAGTCTTTGTGAAACACTCCCCTGGTGTGTGCTCATGCGACAATTGCTGTGGGTGTATTTCATCAAAAGTATAGTGTAAGGAATTCAGTAAGTGTAAGAAATTGCAGCAGAGCAACCACATTTCACACATTTTCTCCTCGTCCCATGACATAATGCAGGTGTGTAGAAATTAAATGTTATCTACGCATTTCTTTGATCATAATTACATTGTATTTCAACATACCCATATTAGTACATTGATCAGGGAGTATGGTGTATCCTAAATTGTCTCAATTTTAAGAGACCCAATTACACCCCTAACCTTTTCATTAATAATGTATAGACATACATGTATCATTTACAGTGATAAATTATTACCTCTTGTTCGCAGGTGCTGCATGATTTCGAGCTGCAAAGGTCCGACTTCACAAGGATTTCCTTCATACTCACTTGCATCCCCCTCTCTTTAGAATCACTGAATGTAACCAACAACAAAATCAAGCATTCATTGACAGCTCAAGACAATAATCACAATGAATTTTCCTTACAAATATTAATAGTACATGTCACTAATATATCCTCTCCTCGGAGCCTGAAGGGTGTCAACTCATATTATATTTTTGATCAATGAAATCCTGTTCAGTCATTGGTCAACATAGCATCATGTGACCAAACATACCATTGCTTTGATGTTACCGATAAGAAAAATGTGCTATAACGTGACGTCATCCATATGGGATCGATCAAGATCAATGTGATATCGGAGTCGGCGCGGTCGCGGTACGGTCGTCTGCGCTGCTCTCAATACACTCTACACTACTTCAGTGACAGTATACATTATTGTTATTATTATTATCATTTTTATTAAGGTTTGGTCAAAAAATATAAAACAAATATCTCATCATGCACTATTTCAAGCCACTAGTGAAATTATGGATTCCCCGGCGACAGAAATAGTGCTATTCCTGCCATCTCGATCCATAATTTCAACTAGAGCCTCTCAGTGCATGGTATATTTGTTTACTATCTAATGATGACTTACATGTAGATTGTTATCAAACAATTGGTTGAGAGTGGATGTTTGACAAGGCATTTATTTCCCTATTTCCCTAGTGTATAGTAACCAATTATTAGCATTTTCTAATTATTAGTTATTATTAACCGTATCAGACATCTGAGCAGGGCAATTTTTAAATGTTATTGCCCTCAAGGTTTGATGTATAAGTCAACAAAATTACAATAAGTTAGTCCGCTCAGAAAAGTCAATGGGATTTTGTGTGTAATTTGGCGGGCAATATAGGTTATACAGTAAACCAATGCGCAAATATTTTAGCCCGCTTAGAACAGTCAATGGGATTTGTATGTAATTTGGCGGGCAATATAGGTTCTACAGTAAGTCAATGGACAAATATTTTAGCCCGCTCTGAAAAGTCAATGGCAAAATGCGTGTTAAACTAGTGAGCAATAATATAGTGCCAGTTGTAATTTACATCGCGCATCAGCTATTGTAATTTACATCGCGCATCGTGTATAAGAAAATGCGCACTTTGCGCGAACTCTCATTGTGACGTAACAATCACACCCTAGGCAAACTGTTTGCAGTGTATCGAAAATCTGTCAAACACTGGATGAACAGTGCTGGTTTGACAATGTTTTTGCAACTTCTAATGCTAGGAAACCCTGTGTAGCCTACATAATTTAAGAGTATAAGATAGTAAGAGTTTCTTGTTTGCTCTAGATGTCTGATGTGGTTAATAATAGTAATATTGACTGCCTAATTCAGGGCAATACGACTTGTCATATATCACCCTCACCTTCGGTTCGGGCGATATATGTCGTATTGCCCAGAAGGCAGTCAATATTACTTAATTAGCACTTTCTTTCACGGGACTTGTGTAGTGACCCAATAAGAAGAAGAAGAAGCACTTTCTAATGATCATTCATTACCACATTTTTCATAATCAGATGGTTTATCATTATCATTTAGATCCAACTCCAAAAGTAAACTCTAATGAAATTTGGAATAATGAGGGTAATTGATCAAATGACAAGGATCCTTTTCACCATTTTATTTAAAAAAATATTTCACATCATATCTTCGCCGGGTACCTTAAAAACAGCCGAAACACCTTCTGCTGTCGCCTCAGGTGTCAAATTATTCCAAAGGTACAGCTTGTCTGGATAATTCTTACCAATGCCCTCACTGATGTATAATATTTGTATTTCACTAACCACATAGTTATCTCTGATCTGGCTCTTGACAGATGATAGAGAAATTCTCTATGCACTTTCAGTTAAGTGTAGGAAACAAGAATCCACAATTTTAACAATGACTTCTATTGTTGTTTTGTTGTTATCATTATCATTACTAAATATTATTATGTATCACTATCATTAATAATCATAATCATTATAAGTAAGAAAGGTATTTAGCAATGTCTGACAACTATTTTAGTCTATATCTTGGAGCTAATCTTGAGTCCTGGTAATTCCACTACAAGAGAAACTGACCATGGGTTAACATCTGAAAGCTCTTTGAGTTATTTATCCTACACCAGACAACTTGTTATAGACCAGCAAAATATAGCACTTTGACACGTACACCAATGAACTGGTTTCCTACCTGTTTTTCAAGCTAAAAGGCACATTCCTTGCTACACCATTGACACTGAGAACATTATACACCACTCTCTCATAAAGGTGGATATTGTCTGTGAAATGAGCTGATGATAGATTAGGAGACATGTTAACCTGGAATGGATGAAAGATAAGAAAGTGGAAGTGCCTGTCATCAGAGAGGCATACTAATGAAGAAGCTTTGGTGGTGTGTACGAAGGTGGACTAAGTTAATAACTTAAGTTAACCTGTGACTGACTACCGGTTCTGGATTCTTTTATTGACATAGGCTTAAATACAGGAATCATCCATTTCCTTTTGGCAATGGATTAACAACTTTATTAGTCCATCCATTTATAGAGTGCCAGGTGTAGTTACTCTTTTCTTCTGTAGAAATTACCAACATTATGTCACAAATAAATTTTAGGGCTAATTGTGTGGTAGGTCGTTCTGGGCCCTGTCTTATAAAGAGTTGATATTAGTTGCAACTTATTTGCGATTGATATCGATCACAACTATGTACATAAGAGAAAGGAGACTGAAAACTTGCGATTGATTCGGATCAATCGCAACTCTTTATAAGACGGGGCCCAGGATACACTGAAAAGTTGTTATCATTAGACATTTGAAGAAGAAAAAAAAGAACAATGCTTAATGTAGAGAGACATTCCCTAAACCTAAAATATGAACAACATGTTCTTTAGAAAGATGCATGTATACAAATTTCACATATAGTACAATAGTACAATGAAAATCGTTATTTTACTCTTTTGATATGACCCACCCTTGATAAATCTTACCTCCATTAGAAAGACATTCAGTTCTTCGTCCAGTACAAAGTCAAATCTCATCAATTCAAAGAAGACACTGTGAGAATGAACAAGAAACAGACGCACAGAGATGTGGGGGGGGGGGGGGGGGGAGAGAGAGAGATAGACAAAACGTATTAACTAATAATGTAAATTTCTCAGATACCTAGATTTAGAGAGTCATTCTAATATTAACCAAGCTCTTCCTAGGCTAACAATTTTGGTGCTCAGATCATTCAAAAAAATTCTTCCTATAGGTATCCATTAACACTTGGATGAAGAGTAGCGTATGTAGATTACTGTTTTTCCAGAGGTACACTAGCACTGCGCCAGGTTCAAACCCACAACATTAGCATTTCAAGTCAAGTGTTTAAACCACTCAACTATGTCACCTCTAGAATAAAATTAAAATATACATGATTTTACAGTCAAACTTTTAAACATATATCACTTAAGGGAATCATGATAAATGGAAATATGTGGCCAGACCAATACTTACCGTTTGTTTTCATGCCTCTGCAAAGAACTTACAAGTTGTGGATACTTGCTGACAAACACTCCACGAATGGCTTCATTAATCTGTCTGTATACATGTTCTGGGTCGTTACCTAAGAACCAGAAATTACACAGAAATATGAAAGTCTGGGTGTATTCTCTGGTTTGAAATTGACTTATTGTACTTCCATGGTCAAACGATACATTACTTATTTCAGCTCTGACAATACACATATTTCAGCTCTAAAAATGATATACACCAATAAAATTATTGAGCAAACAGAATGACTATTAGGCAGTTTATCAGTAATATAATCATTCAATCATAAGTTCTCGATGATGCAGATGAACTCCACATTGATGTGAATCTAGAAACTCATGGGGCAAACTTCTCTTGTTTAGGCATCACCCCCCAAAAAATCATTGTGGGACTTATGCAAACCTCAAAAACTGTAGAAGACTTCCTATACATTCTCATGCTTGATGGCATAATCTGCTGGGACTCAAATCATACCACAGAGTTAATGCCACACTAGCTTCAAACAGATGGTAAATGAGGCTGATAAGGCCTAAAATAAAAACTTGTTGTATTGCCCTTTGCGACCGACCCAAAAATCTTAAGATCTACGGTCGCCATTTTAAAAAAGTTTTTTTTGTTTAAAGCCATTTTTTAGAATTTTTTTATTAATGAATAAAAAAAATATGTAGTTTGTTTGTTTAAATGGGATATAAATACATAAAATCAAATTATTCCAAAATTCTCACTCGTGCGAACCATGGATAGTTATGAGGTGAAAAAGATATTAATGGAATGATGACGCTGAAACACATGTATTAAAGCATTAAAAACTGAGAAATATCAGCCAAAAGAGGGCGGGAAAAAAAAGGAAGAAAAACAAAAAAACATTTAAAACTGAAAAATATCAGCCCAAAGAGGGCGACAAAAAAAAAAGGTTTAAAAAACAAAACAAATTCTGACCCATGTTTTGGCACCCAAAGGGCATACAACAAGTTTTATTTTTTAGGCCTAAGTATCTTACCTTTTGATCTCCAGTATGCATTCATGGTTTCCATAAAGTTGTAATTATATTCCTGATAATACTTCTGTAGTGATGGCATCTGGCAAAATAACATTAAGGGAATACAAAGAAGGAAATGGAGTCACTTAAATCAACTACCGGTATATATTAATTACAGCTGTACAGACTTAATAGAGTACACACATAAATGATATAGGATCCTCATAAAATACAAATAATTGCTTACTTGCACGCACACAAACTATTATGCAACCATATATTATTTTGATGTGGGCAAGTATTTGACATAAATGTTCATATTTATGAATTTACACTTTTTCAAGATAATTAGGCAAACTATCTTTCAAGATGGCTGCCTTTTTTTTTCCATGATGGCCATCACTTGGAGTAAGTAAATTACTATTGAGCTTGTAATGGGCTAGATGCAACAAAACATAAACAGCATGTGACCATATCCACCCATTTCTTTTCAAATGAAGACTATTACAATTCCCAACTCTTTTTTTTTTTTTTTTTTTATCAAAAAGATGTGGATTTTGATGGTCAACATGCATTTTTTTAAATTTTTGCAATAACATTAATCCATGACAAACATAACCCATGGTACCATATACAATTGTACATTTTACGATAACATCAAGGTGCTTAGAAGATGTTATGGACATTTTTCATTGCATCAAAAGAGCTCTTTTACCTTCCATACTGGAGTGTAATCATCACCGACGACATACTTATTGACATCTGCAAAGTCAATGGGGTTGTATACCGTAGGACAGAATCGTACAAGCATCTCATCATGGAGTACATAGACACGTAAGGGGTCAACAGAGGTCAGAGTGACATAGAATCCCAGATCAAATTTCTTGCCATCGATGAGGTAAGGATTGGAGATGTATTGCTGGATGAAGGTGTTTGGGGCATAAAGGTCCAGTTCTAGTATTCAAATGAAATAGTCATTAACAATATCTACATGTATAACACTGGTAATCTCCCTAACATGTAGATAATCTTAATTTAATAAAAAATCTACATATGATTACATTAGTCTTTTCCATAATCTGAGAAACCAATTCTTCACTTTGAAATACAATTTCTCTTCCCTTTCACTTCTCAGATACCAGCTTCTTCACAATATTAAAAAGCAAGGTGTGCATATTAATAACAGAAAAACTTTGAGTACATTTTATAGTACAACATACAACCGGTAGCAATAACACAAATTTGAAGCATTTCAAACATTTCTCTCAATTTCTGTCTCTCTCCTTCTCTTTCTCTTCCCTCTCCCTCCCTTTAATACTGTTCCTATCTCTTCTATTTTTCCGTCATTTCCTTCTTTAATCTCCGTCTCTCTATTTATCTTTCTTTCTCTCTCTCTCTCTCTCTCTCTCTCTCTCTCTCTATCTCTCTCTCTCTCTGTCACTTTGGATATCTTTCTTCCTACAATGTATTAAGATTCCAATGTGCTTCTGACATATACATAGCTAATTGATCCAGGACACTTCACACCAACCTTCAACTGACTTGACTTTGATGCCCCGATGTGAACTGCTTTTCTGAACCCATAGTGTGTCTCGATTCTGTTTTGTCTTGAGAGGATGTAAGGTAAAGAAATCAAAATCAAAGTACATAAATTTTGACAGAAAATCAATAGGTATATCACATTTCGCAAATTGTGAGGAAAGAAAGATGGAGTATTAAATTAAATTAAATTTATTTAATTTGTATTTTAATTTTTATTACATATTTTTAGTAAAGTAGTTGAAGTAGAAGTAGTAGTAGGAGGAACAGGAATAGTAATAATAGGAGTAGTAGTAGCAGCAGCAGCAGCAATAGTAGAAGTAGTAATAGTGGATGTAATGAAATAAAACAGAAATTATGGCACAAATATAAATCAGAGACTACAAATTATATACTGCCACAGTAGAAGCAGTATTACTATTTGCAGTAATGGGAATATAACATTAATACAGTACACATGTAAATGTTGTAGCAAATAACAGTCAAACTAGGAGAAAATGAATGAAAACTTGACCAATATCTTACCTCTAGTAAGAACGCATCTCTCTGATTTGGCATCTGAAATGCTTTTGGAATGTATGCAATGTCAGAGGTCGCCAGATAAACTTTATTGGTAATGTACCCTGTCCCTGGGAAATGGTTGACCTGGATACAATCAGATAGAAGAATATATATGCTAAGACTTGATTATGAAAATATGAAGCAAAACAAAGATAATCATACACTGTAGTCCAATCAATGTTTACTAATATAACTTCAAGTTTAAAATATGTGTTGTAGAAACTGAAGATGGGATGTCTCCATTTTGCTAGAAACTTTCTATTATAGTCTTCACACTACAAATGACCAGTTTCATGCTTAATTGATAGCTACAAGAAAATATTTTACTATGTACAGTCAAACCTGCTTATTAAAGTGACCACCTGTCTACAACAACCTCATTTTTTGTTTCCCTTGAAAATGGTTTCTCATTGAAACATGTACTAAAGGAACCTGTCTACAAAGATCACCTGTCTACAAAGACCACTTTTTGTTTTTCCCTAGAGCGGTCGCTGTAGACAGGTTTGACTGTAGTTATCTTCCAATACAAAGTCACATACACTGTAGTATATGAAGTTGGTTAAATAAAACATTGCTGCATCAGAATAGTTACATAAAGTAATGTATTTTCATAGAAATGGCAAACCTTCTGATAGGGCTTGAGCGTTGCCATGACAGCAGAGAGTTCTTTGAAAGGATAGTCATGGGCCCAGAGTACATCCCAGCTGGACTGTGCATCACCACGGATATACCCTGCCCTCTCAAAAACAGCCATTACATGCTTCAAGTATCCGGAATTCACCTGATAAAAAACATACATAGAGGAGAACATCTGATGATTCAAAGAAAATTTATATGTTTTTGAAAATCTGTTATAAGAGTAATTGTAATATTATTCAAAATCCAGATATATGTGAAGTATCAACAAATCTTTAAGTCTCTCATTATTTACAATGGTGTCTTTTCTTCTGTTTTGATTCATACACATTGAATGCAATGTAAACTCCCAGATCATAATGGAAAGAATACATATAATAGGCTGAAACGTATCATCAAACTCTGTGTATACATGGAGGCTCTTATAATTCATTGAATAAAAATGGTCTTGAAAAATTACAAGCAAAATCTCTTATTCATTGGATAAAAATAGGAGAGAAAGAAATCATGACGATATGAAGACAACTTACATGTTTTGCGTGTATCCACACCACTGGCCGCCTGTAACTATCCACAGTCCCTCCCGAAGCCTCTGCTACCTGGGCACCTGGGTACGGGCCGTGCCCAATGAAGTGGGCCTCCTGCATTGCCTTGAGCTGGTAGACATTCCACATGATGACTAGGAGGCCTAGGCCTAGGGCCGATGCCAAGACGTACAGGACATGGGGTGGTAGACCACGCCTCTTTGGCTTCACCATGCTGGGGTTGTGATACATCTGGGTAAATTAATGAAAGCAAGAATTAAATTAAATTTGTCTCTCTCAACATGGATTGGGATGTACATGTAGTAAATAAGTGATGGCTTAGTGGTAGAGCAGTGGTCTGGTGATTCAGGTGGTCCCGGGTTCAGAACCATCTCGATATACTAGTACCCAATTACCAATTTGCTTGCATATAAAGTCAAAGCTGTAGCTCTATGGGTTACTTATCTACTTGTGCGATTAGAATCGCAATAGTAGCCTACTCTATAAGGTAACACTTCATTATTGATATTGGAGTGCCTTGAGCAAATGATGTATGGCTGAAATCATAACTATACAAGATACCAACATCACTATCATCATCTTTTCCAATGCATAATGAACATTAATACAGTAACGGTACAATGATACAAGCCTCAGTGTCAGCTAACCATACCTTGATCACAAACTAGACTAATAGGAGCTTTTATGCATCTGTAATACAGTACATATATATATATATATATATATATATATATCTTTCTCATTTGCGTCAATTTAGTAATCTTGTCATTTTCTTTGATGACCCGTATCCTGGTTTATTCTATTGACTAGCTTGGGGTTTTTGTACTTCCAAATACATTCATGTATATTTGAATTGGCATATCGCTTTGTGCTGAATTTCTGTAAGATGAAGCGATCAAAATCATGACCTTAATTAGAGTAATTATAATGTTAAAAATGCAGATCTACACAGTACATGCATGTTTCAGCATGCTTTTCATGAATCCGCTGATATATCTACTGTACACTTTCATTTTCATTTCAATTGTAATACACAGACATGATGTACCCAAAATCACAGTTTCTATCTTAGCATAGAGCAATATGCATTGTACCACGATGCCCCGAGGTCAGGTGCAAATAAACAAAAAATAGAGAAAGATAAACAAAACACACACAATGAAAATATAATATGTACATACTGTACTAGTGATGATCATGCTGAGTCATCGCTGACAGTGATTCTGTCATTTCATTCAGGTCCAAAAATAAATTTTGATATGAAATATCTATAGATTATTCACTGGTATATTGTCCTATTTGTTTGAGTGAAATAAATGACTTGGCAAGCTCTACTTTGTGTACAATGGGAAGGGCATAACAAAAAAAATGATATGGGCAGCAAGAACAATATTTTTATTGCAAGCAAAATATAAACTGTGTATGCAAAATACATGTACAAAAATTAAATATGGAGAGAATAATAGGATTTAGGGTGTACATGTAGTTATCTTGAGTTTCTTTTCTAATTGCTCCTTCATGTACCTAAGTAATTGTACATGTACATGTCTTAAAATCTATAAAAAAAAAAAATTCACATTGAAGATAATTCATCCATGTTGAATATGATATTCCACATGGGTACTGCCTTTCTCAAATACATTTTAGAGAATATCTAGGAAATAGAAATGATTACTTGATTACAATTAAATTCAATTATTTTGAAAAATTCAAAAATAAATTTCTTGAAAGTTTTATAAAATACAATATATCCAGATGGTTAACTTAAGGTAAACAACCAAGTATAAAACTGCCAAGAATAACATTAAACTAATAGGAAATTTCTTAAGCTAAATAAAATAATGTAACCTAAAGACGCATTTCTTTGGAACTGTAAAATAGCAAGAGGGTATACCTCCACTTGACCACTTCATATTCAAAATCAGTAATCTATAACATTGATAGCAATAATAAAAAGATTTATATAATACCTGGGTTATTTGAATATCCACACAGAGTCACAGACATTCAACAATCACCGGTACTCCAAAATTGAAGTTGCAAACTAACACTAACACTTGTACCATGTAGAAGTAGTAGAATACGTTCAGGTATTATGTATGTACAGTGGCTGCTAGATATGAGCTCACAGGACAACGTGATTTAATCAGTTAAGAGCTGAAGATGATTTTCTCTCCACCGAGGTGACAATTGACCTTGCTCTTCAAGCTAGTAAACCATTATCAAATAAAAATAAGACACACAATGACTGTTCCTGAGTAAGGTGTCAAATCAGGGACACAGACTTGTACACGGAGAAATGAGGGTTACATTAAGCAGTTACAACATGCCAGTAGAGAGGTGTTAGTACAGTATGAATTTTTTGATGGAAAAATTGACAGCTTACACCAACAATTATTTGATCATGTCAAGGAAACAGGAGCATTGTATAAATTTATACTGCTCTAAATCATGTGGTTTTGCACTCCACTGGTTTTAAAAACGGTCAAACAATAACATACATTACTAAAAGACTGCCAAACAAATACAAAAAATGGTCTTTAATGGCAGGTGGTTTTAAAAGACATGCTTACATGTAGTTTAACAATTACACTACTTTACAAATATGGTCTTTCTAGATACAGGTGGTTGCTAAAAAAAGGTTTGATTATATCTAGATAGCAATTGTCCTGTAAGAATGGGGGTCTGCTACTAGAAACAGACTGGCTTGTAGAATCAGGAACCCTTATTTGGAAATATCCTTCAAAGTCCAAATTCTTCATTTACAATCACAGTTGAAAGGCTAGGCTAGGCATTTTCTATATTATTCTCTCCCACTGTTCAATTATTCCAATTTTGTAAAGCAAAGCAATACATTTGTGCACAACCCAAGCAAGCGGCGCTGCCCTACCAAGGATTTAATCCTTAATAATTGGTTGTTGTATGATTTCTAATCTATGTTCTGGTTCAGAACTACATGTACTTTCTTTTCTTATTCATGTATTGATTTTTCACTTCCCATTCTTCACTTTCTTTTTTATTCATTTCTCTCTCTCTCTCTCTCTCTCTATATATATATATCTTTATTCCTCTCTTTATATACTACACTCTTCTATTTCAGATAATTGAGCACCATGTATGTAACACTTCCTTGTACTGTAGGTCTACTAAGCCCAATCTACTAAGTAGGTCTACTAAGAACAATATTTTTATTGCAAGCAAAATATAAACTGTGTATGCAAAATACATGTACAAAAATTAAATATGGAGAGAATAATAGGATTTAGGGTGTACATGTAGTTATCTTGAGTTTCTTTTCTAATTGCTCCTTCATGTACCTAAGTAATTGTACATGTACATGTCTTAAAATCTAAAAAAAAAAAAAAAATCACATTGAAGATAATTCATCCATGTTGAATATGATATTCCACATGGATACTGCCTTTCTCAAATACATTTTAGAGAATATCTAGAAAATAGAAATGATTACTTGATTACAATTAAATTCAATTATTTTGAAAAATTCAAAAATAAATTTCTTGAAAGTTTAGTAAAATACAATATATCCAGATGGTTAAAACTGCCAAGAATAACATTAAACTAATAGGAAATTTCTTAAGCTAAATAAAATAATGTAACCTAAAGACGCATTTCTTTGGAACTGTAAAATAGCAAGAGAGTATCCCTTACCATTTCGGCCTAAAAGTGGTGTTTATTCGACTTTATACAATATTTGCCCCTACACCCCTTTCAAACGCATATGAGGGACAGGGTAACTCTCGTGGCATGTAGAGACATTTATTGTGAGGAAACTAGCCTATTTAAATATTTGAAATTTTTCAGCAAAAATGTTGAACCACCCCGGCCCTTACCATTTTGGGCTCAAAAAGGTGTTTATTCGACTTTTTACAATATTTGCCCCTACACCCCTCTCAAACGCATATGAGGGTCAGGGTCCATCTCATGGCATGTAGAGACAATTATGGTGAGAAAACGAGCCTATTTAAATATTTGAATTTTTTCAGCCAAAATGCTGAACAACCCCGGCCCTTACCATTTTGGCCCAAAAGTGGTGTTTATTCGACTTTTTACAATATTTGCCCCTACACCCCTCTCAAACGCATATGAGGGTCAGGGTCCATCTCATGGCATGTAGAGACAATTATGGTGAGAAAACGAGCCTATTTAAATATTTGAATTTTTTCAGCCAAAATGCTGAACAACCCCGGCCCTTACCATTTTGGCCCAAAAGTGGTGTTTATTCGACTTTTTACAATATTTGCCCCTACATCCCTTTCAAACGTATATGATGGTCAGGGTTGATCTCATTGCATGTGGAGACAATTATTGTGTGAAAACGAGCCTATTTAAATATTTGAATTTTTTCAGCCAAAATGCTGAACCACCCCGGCCCTTACAATTTTGGCCCAAAATTGGTGTTTATTCGATTTTTAACAATATTTGCCCCTACATCCCGTTCTAACGCATATGATGGTCAGGGTAACTCTCATGGCATGTAGAGACATTTATTGTGAGGAAACTAGCCTATTTCAATATTTGAATTTTTTCAGCCAAAATGCTGAACCACCCCGGCCCTTACCATTTTGGCCTCAAAAAGGTGTTTATTCGACTTTTTACAATATTTGCCCCTACACCCCTCTCAAACACATACGAGGGTCAGGGTTGATCTCATTGCATGAAGAGACATTTATTGTGAGGAAACTAGCCTATTTAAATATTTGAATTTTTTCAGCGAAAATGCTGAACCACCCCGGCCCTTACCATTTTCGGCCTCAAAAAGGTGTTTATTCGACTTTTTACAATATTTGCCCCTACACCCCTTTCAAACGCATATGAGGGTCAGGGTCCATCCCGTGGCATGTAGAGACAACTATTGTGAGAAAACTAGCCTATTTAAATATTTGAATCTTTTCAGCCAAAATGTTGAACCACCCCGGCCCTAACCATTTCGGCCCAAAAGTGGTGTTTATTCGACTTTTTACAATATTTGCCCCTACATCCCTTTCAAACGCATATGAGGGTCAGGGTTGATCTCATGGCATGTAGAGACATTTATTGTGAGGAAACTAGCCTATTTAAATATTCGAATTTTTTCAACCAAAAAGCTGAACCACCCCGGCCCTTACCATTTTCGGACTCAAAAAGGTGTTTATTCGACTTTTTACAATATTTGCCCCTACACCCCTTTCAAACGCATATGAGGGTCAGGGTCCATCTCGTGGCATGTAGAGACATTTATTATGAGAAAACGAGCC